TCCGGTACTAAAGTATTCCCAGACAGAAAGTTCCGGATGAACAATTCTTCTCCGTACGTATCCAGTGTAGCCAGATCTCCGCCTATAAGCTGACACATAGCGACAGCCTCCACGGCAATCAGGGAGTGGTGCGGTGCGGAAAGGTAGTACCGTCGGCCCTCAAAACTCTCCGAGACGTTAAAAAGTGTGTTTTTTATTTGATCCCGCTGTTTCCGGTAACCCTGGGTTTCGTTCACTAGACTGTTGAGTATAGTGTAGATGTGCTCAATGTGGTAGTTCAACTCTTTCATATGATCTAACACGTCATCGCTATTAGGGATGGCGTAGGTCACTCTCGACGTAACGTTCATCCCCACCGGATGTCCAACGCTGTTGACCTCGTTCGCCTCGCAGTTATAAACCCCAGATTTATCCGAATCGGGAAAATCCCAAACTATTTTTAGATACGACTCCCCCGCGTTGTCGATTTGACCGGAAACGGTGGGGTTCTCCATGGAGATGTCCTTGACCTGACTGTCGGTGTGGAAGACGTTGATGGAGGCGAGTTCCTTGTAGCTGGTCTGGTTGTTGGCGCGTGAGATGATGAGGGAGATGAGGCTCTCCATGCCGGACTCGCTGATGTTGGTCAGCCAGCACTTGACCTCCAGGTAACGCTGGAAGCCGATCTTGATGACCGTGGGGCTGGAATCTAGATGGATGCCGGATACTGGAGAGTAAAATGTTGAACAGATTTGTATACATTTCTTACAGGTGTGTTGTAAACATACCTGATGTAGGACAACTAATACGGGAATGTCTTTAATAGCACAGAAGTTAATAAAAAGATTCGTAATTTATTTTTTCTCAACTACAACATAACACACTAATATTGAGTTGAGGTTGTAAAATTAAGAGTATCTATATATATAATTCTCTTCTGGGAGACATTAGAAAACAAGCTGCAAGCGCGCCTTGAAGTCCCCTCTCTTTCTCTCTATCAATATCACTACCACCCCCACCCCACCCCCACATGGTCTGGTGAGCTGTGGTTACGCTAAATGTTTACAAATCGTAGAGCCGCGTTTAGTGACGGCTATTAGGGGCAGATAATTTAGTTTGAAACTATTTTAAACTTACAGGAGGTAACTAAGAGGAGGCTTCTTTCACGGGGGGGGGGGGGGGGGTAAGGTCGGGGTTAGGGGAAAGGGGGGGGTTAGTGTTTTAAAGCAAATATTTTACTGTCGAATTCACAAATTAGGAATTACTGAAAAGTAGAAAATAAAACAACTAAATAGCGGCGTATGGCGGCGTATGATACGGCGCGGGTCGGCTCGTTAATTTAAAATACCATCAGTATACTTGATAAACTTAACACTCTAAGAAATGTATCATGACGTCATAAACAATAGGAATACATTTAAACGACATAAAGCGTAATGTGTTTTTCTTACAACACAGTTTGATGATCTATGCCTTTTAATTCTAATGAACACAGCGCAAGTAGAACTGTATCGTCCAAGGTGTTTACTTAATTAATGTAAGATGAACGGGAAAAAGACAAATCGTATTAAAATTAATATTACCTTTTTAATCATGAGTTTACTCCCTATAGAATTAACTTAAGTATAATATTGACTTAAAAGGTTTGTACTCAAATAAATAGTAATTTGAGATAACGTAACATAACTTACCCACTGTAACAACTCCTAGTAAAGAGAGAAACTGTCGCCACATTTCTTGTGGTGATGAACGTGAACAATTAGTAGATGTTACAAGTTTCTAATTTCATATAACAAGTTGATATGTCTTCTCTTATTCTTCCATCTGCTAAATAGTTTTGTCTACAGTAGGAAAATTTGATAATGATAATCGGTTAAAAGATACAGATGTTAATCTTTTTTTAAAGATAACACTTATAATTTAATCATTTTTACTTATTCTTGTAACTACGATACTTTAAATGCTTTAAACAGTATATTTAGTCCTAGCTGTTTCACATTCATACTTTATTCAATACCTATTAGATATATAGCAATATAGAAACTGAAACAATGATTTGCCTGAAAGATAATCAAACTGGTTCAATAGATTACAGTTCGTTCTCTATCTGTGACTTAAAAGCGATTCAGGTCATAGATTACGTTAAATGAAACATATCGTGTGCAAATAGAAACTGATGTATGACATTAGAAACAACTTGGACGGCATAACATTGCCAAAACTGTATGTTATATCCAAATGTATATGCTTTTATTTTGTTATCGAAAATAAAAAAATGAACTACTAGTAAAATAACAGTTAATGTTTTAAAACACATTTTAAAATGTCATTTCAACGATATTATATATACATATCTTACATATAGAGCCCTAGCTCTAGATGTAAGAGGTTAAGTCTATGAGACCTTAATTAAGCAAGTCAGGCAAAGATATTGAAAAAATGTTTATAAAAATTGCTGATGATTATTTAGCTGCGAAGGCGTCCACTCTAAATCAAGATACCAATGATGCTGTACATGTCAGAAAAACACCCAAGAAACTTATGTGCTTCTTGTAGTAGTTGATAGCTGGTTTGATTTGTTGTTTTTAAAAATGTAAATTACTTAAGTACAGAGCTAACATGATGACTAAAGAGAAAGTCCCAAATACTGACAAGTTAAATCACCGGAACACTAGACTATGCAATGTGCAACTATGATCTACGGGTAGTGAAGTAGTTAAATGAAACTATTGACTTGCTTTAACAAATGATTAAATATTTAATTAGGAAAGCTTTGTTAACCAGCAAACAGATAAAGAACAGTACATAATAAAACACTTGTCTCACATTAAATTTCTGTAAAGGCTTCTGGACATAGAAATTGTGTAATAATAATTGTACAATTATAACTCTGTCACTTTAAAAGTGTAGTTCGATCACGCATTCAAAATAATATTAAATTAAAAAAAAATGCTTCATTTACAGATCCTAATGTACATGTTCCGTAAAAGTTCCCTGAATATTAGTATTATAATATAAAATGTATGTGTGAATTTATAATATAGGCTTTATATATATATATATATATATATATATATATATATATATATATATATATATATATATATATATATATATATATATATATATATATATATATATTATTTTAAGTATAATTAGATGTTCCAGCCACAGCTTTAGCTATTTCCAAGAGTTGTTTATTTTTTCTGTTTACCCAGTGGTTCTCCTGCTTTTTGTCTATGATGCCAATCAATGTTAAATTAATGCAGGGGTTGGGTGGATACAAATTGGCTAATTAATGTATTATAATTGTGTATGAATAGCACGATTAACAACCTTATTCACTTGGGTATTCGTCATTTTTACAAACTAAAATGAAATTTAATAATTCCTTACAATGAAAGTTTGTCACGTTTAAGCAATAATAAGGAATACTATTTCCAAAAAGAAATCCTCGATTTACTTGATAATAAAACAATTTTCTATCATTTTTTTTAAAATTACAATTAGTATCAAAATATATGTTATTTTTTACTTTGAATAAAGTAAATGTACAGTTAAAAAAAATAAGATAAGTCAATAAACAATTTATTTTATCTTTCCTTGTTTGCTCTAGTTAACTTTTAGTATGTCAAGCTAACAGTGCTAGTCCTGGTGTCTATTTAGGTTATGTTGATTGCATACGTTTAAATAAACAAATAACTCTAACGTTTGTTTGGCTCCACTTCAAAATAGCTGACAACAAAAACTTTAGACTTAAAGTTACGGAGATATAATTTGGCTACCCGTACCCCTGCACAAGTAACGCGTCCAGCTCCGTCAATGTCTCTCGCCGTTTCGACTTATTCATGTCGGCACCAGTTTAATAGTTCAGATTCAATTTCCGCACAAAATTAAAATTAAGCAAATCAGGATACCAAAAATGGCGTGATTCTTTACATATTTTATCTCAATTCACTAACAAGATTAATATTATAATGATTGTTATTAAGTTAGTATAACTAATAAAACAAATATAACAAAATTTATAACAGCAAGCTTTTAAACGAAATTTTAAAGAATAAAAAAAAATAATTTACTTTCTTTCATAAATGCTTTGAGCGCTCATGAGATATTTTACATAGTTTAGCGACCAAATCTAGATCTAAATAGGCTTCGACTAAAAATATGTGTCTTAAAACCCGATTACTACTCTAAAAGACAGTTGTCTGCCCCTTCTTCGTAGGCAACCGTGACAACAGTTGACCCTCTATGGGAGGTGATCTCGCGATCTCTAGCATTTAATCTTGTTATCTCCCCTTTTATTATTGACCAGTAGATTCCCCTTAAATACACTGTCCGCCTATTCCGATTGATCAACACTTGGGCAACTAACCGTTCCCAACCATATGAAGAGGTGGTTGACATTTTTTTTTTAAATTAAATTACTTGTTATTTGGAACTCATGATGATTTTTTAAATCTTGAAGCGAGGCCCAGAAACAAGCAGCCGCCATGCTGTTTGATCAACGAAATCGCTGCATTAGAAATTGGTCAAAATTAAGATTTGCAAAAAAAAACCACATACAACAAACAAACAAACAAACAATAAAAAATAAATAAACAAATGGACATTGCGAACTAAATAAAAGTTTGTAAAACAGTACACTGAAAGTTTCAAGATAATTATTCATTATAAATCAATGGGGAAAAAAACCTTGCATTTAAAACACTTTTTTAATCAAAGTACACTAATTTCCATTTGCAATTTTAATTTTCAAAATTATACTTGAACACTTTTAACTGAAAATTCCTTTAACGAGAAGTAAGTCAAAATCGTCCTTTTAGAAACAAATGTAGTGTATTAGTAAAGCATTTAGAAATGTTTTTAGATTTATGACTGAAGCATTAGTTAAAATTATTTTTTTTTCTACCCGAAATTTAAAAAATGGACTAAATATAACGAATATAAGCACTACACAATTAGTTACAACATTTTTATGGTTTAATTTTTATTAACAGTAAAGTTGTATGTAATGTTTGTTAAACTGGCTTTTGGTCTGGCACCTCGCAAAGGTAAGTCAGCTTAAAAGAATTATCGCTCATGGTAGCAGCGCACGGATCATCAATCATAAGCATTGTTGTGGAATATAATACAACACAATTTTGACTTTGCCCGCCGCTCGGTTCACCCGAATACCAATGTGTGTAATTAGCCACGGTCTTGCTGTGTCGATTTACCCAAACATTCTCCTGTAGCTCATCTGATAACCCGGTCATTGCAGCATTGAAAACAAGCTTGTTGTTTTCGTTTGTCAAAAAATTTATCAAAAATTGATGCTCGTCTCTAGAGTTGATCTCGACCAGGTAACCACCAAACAACTCACACAAAGCTTCTCCTGATTTTACATCGTATGTGTGAAGCCTGTTGGACAGTAAGTAATGATGACCATTATACGGAGGAGAAATTGAGAACATATTAGTTTTTATCAAATCCAAATTTGCTTTGAAAGTTTCAAACTCTAGCGACATGTTCTTAAATTCAAAGAGCACCTCACTCAAATCCAGATATTTTGTTTCACATGTATCTAGCTCTAGCGTCAGATTGTGAATTTCATTGACCAGTTGACCCGTTGCGGGGTTAGAAGAGTTAACTGAAATAGTTGAGGTCAGGGTCACCGGATGTCCAGTGTGACTCACACCGTGAGCTACACACGCGTAAATACCGCGCTTGTTAACATCGGGAAATCTCCACGCCAGATGGAGGTAGGACTCACCCATGTTGTCGATCTTACCGGAACCTGTCAGAGTTTCATTAGATACGTCAACCACGTGACCGCCTGGACTGAAGACGTTAATGGAGGCCAACTCCTTACTAGGGCCATGGCCTGACCGTGTAATGATCAAGGAAATCAGGCTCTCCATCTGTGTGCTGCTGTTGATAAAAGTGTGACATGTCACCTCCAAAGTTGTTGTTAGTCCAATAACCAATGTAGTAGGCGTTGCTTCGATCTGTAAACCGTAACCTGTTACATAATATAGATATATATAAATATATATATATATATATATATATATATATATATATATATATATATATATATATATATATATATATATATATATATATACATACAAAATGTTAATTGTGGAAGCGACAAAAAGGTTTATTTAAAATGTAAAATTAGACATTTTATAATTCGAAGCAGCCCGTAATTTGCACGAATAATTTAAATTTGATATAAAATATAAAAATGTTGTGTAAAAGGACAACTATTTAGTTAAAACCTTTTTTATTGTAATTGTAATAATACATTGTGTTGGTATAATTGTATTTCTATTTTTAATAGAGCGCTCGAGTAAAATATTGGTAAGGTAGAAATGGAATCTGCATTAATAATTTTGTGTAGGCTCTAAGGTGTCAGCATTATGCTTAGCCGCCCTTGTTTGCCTAAAACGGGCAAAGTACACATCGGAACTATATATGTGTAGTTTTAAAATATTTTTTCATAGATTACATATGTACTAACCTGTACCAACAGCGCATAGAAAACACAGCAGAAAAGTATATAAATACTTCATGTTCGTATACTGTTTATGCTTCAACACACACAAACCCGACAGTTGTCTCGTCCTAGGATAGCTTCTCACGAACTGATACAGCAACACTCGTGCAACTATTATCGACGTTTTATCATTATTGACGTCATCAGTGATAAGAGTTGTTGATTGTATAAAAAGCCTACCAATTGTTAAAGCTGATGATAAAATGATAAAATGATAGCATGATAACAGCAAACAATGAAAAACAAAATATAACGGACACGAGCTTATCTAAGGTTTATTAAAGTCAATGGTGAGTGGGGGAGGGGTATTGAAGTGCCATGTCACGACTGTACTTTGTAGACCCTCTCCCACACTGAACAGGACTCTGGTCCCTAATTCATTGGAAGCCGCGGCGCGATTGCCCAGGGGAGAGCTCCTACAGGATCACACCCCGAAGAGTCTTGTCCCTACAATCCATGACGGGCCCACACTTTTCATCACAGAGGGCCCTAGCTGGAAAAATTAGAATCAGCCCTGCGCCCCAAGTTTTTAACCTGTGATTTCCCTGTTTGTTTCCCCTATTCCAATCTCTCATCGTCAATATCTGGATAACGGAGACCTCCGCTAGTCAAACAGTAATGGCATTCAGAGATTCTGGAATCAGCTATAAGATGGGGATGACATTCGGCACACTTTACAAAAACCACAAAGCAAGCAAAGGAAATGACGTCAGAATAACCTCGGAAATTTAACTTGTGTGAGACACTTTGAAGTTGAGTTGCAGCCCAAATAATAACTTTAGACATATAACTACGGAGACGTGATGCGGCCCGTACTCATTCAGAAGTAACACGTTAAGTTCCTTCAACTAATCTTCATCTTTCTCATATAGGCACAAATTTAGCACCGATCCCATTTCTGCCGACCATTAGGCAAATCAGGATATATAAAATAGCGGATTTAAATTGTTAAAGATTTTAAAATGGTATCTCTTAATTCAGAAATAAGTTTATTGTGTTAAAAACAGATGTACTATTCTATGTCAATAAAAAAGACTATACAAATTACAAAGAAAGTATGAAGACAATGTTGCATTATAAAACAATGAAGTAAATATCTAGTTGTTAAAAATACTATTTTTTATTTTTATCAAAGTCAATTAAAATTATATTTTTAAATTTTACTTCAACACTTTCAACTCATTGTACATTAAATGCGCTGAAAGGCAGAACCCAACTTGGACGAAACAATGTAATGTATTAAAGAAAAAAATTTACATTTAATACCTATCATTTTCGTAACTAAATTAATCTTTTTCCACAGAAACAGAAATTAGATAATATATAAACTTGAATAATGTTTAAGATATATTTTTGTATCAACCAATCTGTGTGTATTGTTTATTTTATTGTTTTAGATTAGCTTTTAGTTCGGCACCTCGCATAGGTAAGTCAGCTTTAAAGCGAAATCGCTTCTTGTGATAGAACACGGTTCATCAACCATCAACCAAGATGGTTGGAACAACACCACACAGTTCTCACTTCTTCCACCGTCGGGGTTATTTGCAAGCCAATTTGTATACCTAGCCACGGTCTTGCTGTGTTTATGTACCCAAACATTCTCGTGTTGTTCGTCTGATAACCCCGTTAATGCAGTTATGATATCAACATTTGTTGATTCGGTAGTTAAAAAGTTTATCAGGAAAAGATGTTCGTCAGTGGAGTCGATCTCAACCAGGTAACCTCCAAACAACTCACACATGGTTTCAGCTGTTTCTACCTGGTACGTGTACAGCCTATTGGATAGTAAGTAATGATGACCGTTATACGGTTGAGAAACTGTAAACATGAACGTTTTAATCAAATCCAGCTTTGTTTTCAAGTTCGATGCACACTGTTCTTTTTCAAATTCAATTTCTAACGTCAGGTTCTGAATTTCATTGAGCAGGTCATCGGTTTCAGGATAAGTGTAGTTGACTGAAATTGTTGAGGTCAAGGTCACCGGATGTCCAGTGTGGCTAACGCCGAGAGCCTGACACACGTAAAGACCGCGGCTGTTGACGTCAGGGTTCCTCCAAGTCAGACGGAGGTAGGACTCTCCCAGGTTGTCGACCTTACCGGAAGCTGTCAGCGTTTCATTGGACGTGTCCACCACGTGACCTTCTGGGCTGAAAGCGTTAATGGAGGCCAACTCTTTATCTGGACCGTCACCTGACCTTGTAATGATCAGGGAAATCAGACTCTCCATCTGGGAGCTGATGTTGATAAACGTGTGACATTTGACCTCAAGCGTTGTTGTTAGCCCAATCACTACTGAGGTGGGCATTGCTTCAATCTGTAAACTGTAACCTGTAAGAATATATATATATATATATATATATATATATATATATATATATATATATATATATATATATATATATATATATATATATAAATGTATATATATGTATATATATATATATATATATATATATATATATATATATATATATATATATATATATATAAATGTATATATATATATATATATATATATATATATATATATATATATATATATATATATATAATAAAGTGAATTATTTAAACAATTGAAAGGTTTATTTATAAAAAAAAATTAAATATAATAAATCGAAGCAGGGAAAACTTCATACAAGTATTAATAAATCGTATTTAACGTTTAACACAAAAAAATAAAATGTTGAGTGAATGAAATAGTAATGAATTAAAATCCTTTTTTATGTAAACGAAACAATGATTTGGGACATTTGGTGCTATTCTTTGTAAGAGTGTGTTGAAAAAAAGGATAAAATATGTTGCTGGGGTACTGATCGGATCAGCATTCACACAAATGTGTAACCTCTAAAGTGTCGGCGCTTTCACAAGTCGACTTTACTTTCCCTAACATTCCGGTCACAACTTATGGCTTATGAAATGAAACTAACTCGTAGACTTCATCTTCACTAGAGCACATAAAAGGTATGTGCTAATACAAACCATACATTTCTTACATGTGAATCATTATCTTTTTTTCCGGTTCTTGCGAAAGATACATGGGGTAGATGAAGTAGAGTCCATCTGTTTGATTTAACTCAGTAGGTATATATGGGTGTAATATGATCAGCACTTTCCGCAGCCGCTTCAAACGAAATCAGGAACATATCGGAGCTTGGTTGACTCGGTGATGTCCTGTAGTCTTAAGGACGAGCTCAAAACTCAAGACTTTCGGGTCAGCAGTCGTGAGCTCAACCATACGACCACTCCGGCTTCTATTTTTTGCATTTTATTGCATTGCAACTATTTAAAGATTATAAAAATGCAATGTGAACTAACCTGCATCAACAGCGATCAGTAAACACAGCAGAAAAGTATGTAAATATTTCATGTTTATGTACTGTTATGCTTTTAACACACAATCTCGACAGTTCACTCAACCTAGAATATATTTAGACGAATAAAAGTTACACTACTTGTGTAGACAGTGATACGAGTTTATGATAAGATATAAAGCCTACCAATAGATAGTTCTAATGAAAACATCATAAAAATAGTGATAACTGGAAACTTAGTACGAGAATATTGTAGGCGATAGATCGATATAACCATGAAGATTTCAATAGAGACTATCTTAGCCCATAGTGGACCTTGGCTCAACTAGGACCTAGTTCTACAGTGGGGGTGGGGGCAGGGTGTCTTATTCCATGGGGGCCATTAACCCATCTCATGGGGTCCCTCATTCCATGGTTGTGAAGGTCCCTAATTACATGGGTCCCATTAATCGATCTTCCATATGGTCCCTCACTCCATGGTTGTGAAGGTCCCTAAATACATGGGCCCCATTAATCCATCTTCCATGGGGTCCCTCATTCCATCGGCCCCATTAATCGATCTTCCATAGGGTCCCTCATTAGATGGTTGTGAAGGTTCCTAATTACATGGGCCCCATTAATCGATCTTCCATAGGGTCCCTCATTCCATCGGCCCCATTAATCGATCTTCCATAGGGTCCCTCATTAGATGGTTGTGAAGGTTCCTAATTACATGGGCCCCATTAATCCATCTTCCATAGGGTCCCTCGTTCCATGATTGTGAAGGTCCCTAATTACATGGGCCCCATTAACCCATCTTAAATGGGGTCCCTAATTCAATGGTGTGAAGGCCCCTTAATATATGGATGCCCTGGTCCCTTATTCTATTAGATCGTCGTATCATCCCATAATCAGAAATATGTAATCATTTTAAGAAACGTCGATGTTCAAAAGTCTTCCATAACATAATGTAAGATATATGATATGGAAATAGGTCAGAAATCTCACAAAGATAATTCAGTGCAAATTTATTATTGCTTTATGTATATCAACACAGAAAATTATGCACAAATAAACTACAGACAGTTTATGTACCGTAATACATTTGAGAAATTACAAGGGTATCACCAGTTCATTTATTCTAGATAGCCACAGCTTGACTGAGCCTGTTTTCAAATCGACAATCCTATCAAGACTTCACTGATCTGATTGTAAATTGATTAGTTCTTTAAGAAACTGATCGAACATTGATGTTCGACTGAGGAACTGGTCTTGACGAGGATGTCAAAAGACAAACCAAACATTGTCGACTTCTGTATGGTGAAGTCTGTGGATAATAAGCCCCTTTAAAATCCCTTGATCTTTCGACCTACTCACAAAAGCTATAATTTACTAGTAAGGATAGTTGCGGAATTATAATATCCGATTATAATTAGACGAATCCTAATACATAAAATAGCGAATTTTTACTTTCAAAGATTTTAACATAATTATGTTAACTTAATTTGAGAAACCAGGTTAGTAAGTTTAACATAATTTGTTATGTTTTTAGTAAACATAGAAATGACTTTAAACAGTACACAGAAATTTTAAAGATGATTTTACTTTATAGTAATGAATAGGCCTACATCTTTTCTGAAAAAAAGGTTTTACTTAAAAAGCTATTTTAACTTTACGACTTAATTCAACTTGCATGTTTTTAAATTGTACATCAATATTTTAAACTCATTATTAATTCAGTGCATATAAATGAACAATAAAGTATTAACGAAAAAATTATTGGTATGGGGAAAAAAATAAAATGAAGTATTTTTATTTGTCAAGACTGAAGCATTCGCTTAAATAAATTTTGTTCTACCAGAAATAAAAATGTGATTAAAAATAACGTAGACTATATGAGAACTACACAATTATTTTTTAAGAATCTTAAGGTTTGATTATTGCAATTGTTAAAGTTGCTGCTGAAATTTGTTTTTTTTTAGATTGACAACTAGTACGGCACCTCGCAAAGATACGTCATCTTAAAAGCAAAATCACTTCTTGGCGAATAACAATAATCATCAATCATTAGCCAATCTGGGAAGTACAATACAATACAATTTTGACTTTGCCCGCCGTTCGGATCGGATTCGAGCCACTTTAAAAAAGTAGCAAGAGTATGGCTGTGTCTGTTCACCCACACATTCTCTTGCTGTTCGTCTGATATTCCGGTCAAAACAAAATAGATATCAATCTTTTTTGCTTCGTCAGTTAAAAAATTAGCTAAAAATTGATACTCGTCAGCCGTGTCGATCTCGACCAGGTAACCACCAAACTGCTCACAAGCTGATTCAGCTGAATCTACATTGTACGTGTAGAGCCTGTTTGACAGTAAGTAATGATGACCGTTATAAGGAGGAGAAACTGTAAACATGAACGTTTTGATTAAATCAAGTTTTGTTTTCAAGTTTGATGCACACTGTTCTTGTTCTATTTCGATCTCTAACGTGAGGTTGTTAATTTGATTGACAAGTTCATCCGAATTAGCATAGAATGGGAAACTGAAACTGTTGAAGTCAAGTTGACAGGATGTCCGGTGTGACTAATGCCGTGAGCCTCGCAGACGTAAATACCGCGGTTATTTATATCTGGGAACTTCCAAATCAGGCGGAGGAAGGATTCCCCGAGGTTGTCGATCTTGCCAGAAGCTGTGATAATTTCATTGGATACATCAACCACGTGACTATCTGGACTAAACACGTTAATGGAGGCCAACTCTTTATCTGGACCGTGGCCTGACTTTATAACGATCAGGGAAATCAGGCTCTCCATCTGGCTGCTGCTGTTGATAAAAGTGTGACACTTTATCTCTAGTGTTTGTGTTAGTCCAGTAATTACCGTGGTGGGCGTTGCATCGATCTGTAGATGTAGACCATCACCTGTCGAGATTATATAAATATGCATGTATATATATATATATATATATATATATATATATATATATATATATATATATATATATATATATATATATATATATATACAGTGGCGTAGCGAGGTCGGGTGTATTAATTTATCATTAATTTTTCTAATTACAATGTGTGTGCCTTGGTGTCGCCCCCTTAAATTGTGTCACCCGGTGCAATCCGCACACCCTGGCGACGCCTCTGCCATTCATAAGTTTAGTTATCAGAGCCCAAATGATCCAATACCAACATGCGTTTAAGTTAAATTATGTATTCAGTCTTTGCTAATTTAACATAGCACTACAAGGAAAAAGTTGAAATTTCTCAATCTTTGACTTTTTTTTTACTGTTCTACAAGTGTGAAGTCTAACATTTTTAACATTTGCAAATAATACTATTAATACTAATAGTTTCGCTGTCTGTTTATGTATCTATCTATCTAGAGAAAACACAAGCAATTTAAAAACATGGATAGTTAAACGATAACGAAACATGACGTCACATTGAAGCATATCTATCTATATATATATATATAATCCTCTTCTGGGAGACGCTAGAAAACAAGCTGTAAACGCGCTCCCTACCACCACCACCCCTACATGGTCTGGTGAGCTGTGGTTCACTCTAAATGTTTACAAACAGAGCCGGGTTTCGTGACGACTATTAGGGGCAGATAATTTAGTTTGAAACGATTTTAAACGTAGGGGGGGTAACTAAGTGGAGTTTACTTTAACGGAGGGGGGGAGGAGGGGGGGGGGTTATCGTCCTTAACGAGCTACTTATAATGTTTTAAAGAAATATTTTCAGTGGCAGCGTTGGTAGTGTCGAATTCACAAATTATGAATAACTGAAAAGTAGAAAAAACAACAACTAAATATCGGCGTATGATATGCCGCGGGTCGGCTCGTTCTATATAATAGTTTCGCTGTCTGTCTATGTATCTATATATCTATCTATCTATGTATATATCTATCTGTCTGACAAGAACGCTCTAGAGAAAAGACAAGCAATTTAAAAACATGCATAGTAATTCGAAAAACGAAATATGACGTTACATTTAGCATAGAGTAAAAAATAATCTCAAGCCGGAGAGTGCACACAGTAATATGACGTCATTGATTCTCGAGTAAGCATTGAATAAAAAGGCCATTTGTCTAATCTAAATGGTTTGCGTGAAGAGTTTCTTTCATACAATTCTTCGGGTAGGGGCGAAGAGGGATGGGGGTACTTGAAATTTTCGGGGGCGGGGGTAGAATTTTCTGGGAGGGGGCGGACACTGGAAAAAGTATATAATTATATTTCGTTGATATGTTTTGGAGTGTGTGTGTGGGGGGGGGGGGGGTGGGGGGGGGCTAAGCTCCCTCTTCTTAAGTAGAGTTGCCTGAAAGAAACTCTAAATGCGACTTTTGTCATGAATGAGATTAGGTGCATGGTTTAGGGATATGCCTATGACTATATTTTGTATAAATTAAAGTACCGAGAAAATAGACAGCACTATCAACCTAGCGCCCGTTGTATCCTTCCTCAACGGGCCATTTTTCTCGTTGTTCTAGATTTACACATGCATAGCTCTTTATTCTTTTCACAAACAAAAAACTTACCACTTCCTTGGGTCCATTTCGGTTATCGCAGTTTCCGTTGCCTAGCAACTGGGTTGAGACGGTGACGTTAAAGTCACGTGACTGGTATTGTGTCAGCGGTGTCCACTTGACAGCCAGGCTCGTGCTGTCAAGTGGGGTCACGGTGACATTACTCAACAGCTGGGCATCTATGAACAAAATGTCGTTCTGTTCCTTGGGACTTTTAATACTTATGCCGTGAGATTTTAGGCAAGTTTTTCCTCAACCCTCGCTATTATGACTTCACTGCGTTCCTCCCAATCCTTATAATTCTAATATAGATTCAATTAGTTTTTTTTTTACTCTTTTCGTTCTTAAAAAATAAAACGTATTTAACATCACATGACCTGACCCCCATCCCGTATCCATCGTTACAATTTGCAGCACTTCGTCGGAAAAGTAGCCTGTCCCGCCAAGTGTTTCTTTCAGACATTCTACTTAGTGTTAATTGAACCTTTCGTCTCACACCCCTTTTCGTATAACATCCTTGCAATAAATACCCATGACCAATATATATATATATATATATATATATATATATATATATATATATATATATATATATATATATATATGTAAATATATATATATATATATATATATATATATATATATATATATATATATATATATATATATATATATATATATATATATATATATATATATATATATATATATATATATATATATATATATATATATATATATATGTGTGTGTGTGTGTGTGTGTGTGTGTATGTGTATGTGTGTGTGTGTGTGTGTGTGTCGTTTTGTCATCGTTCACCAGTTTATCACATACCAGTTAAAAATACACTGTAAAGAGTGCGTTATTAAAATATAGTGAACAACAAACCCCGATCATGAGTTCTTTGATTGTTTAACTACAATATTAGTATACTCAAAAATATATTACAGACCAACCTGAAAACACAGTCGTTAAGAAAATAACACAGTATGATAGAAAGCTACACATCTTGTATAGATGTTCGCCTGACTGTAGTCATTAATGTAATGATTATGTATTTATCAATACGACTACATAACCAATAAACTTGGTACTGTATTTTATTGTATGATAAATAATTCAACTGTGCTAAAAACGTTGTTTTTATATGTGTAGTATCTGTAATCTAGCTATCAAGTCGCGTTTGGGTATCTCACCCAGTCTCAATTTTTTATCCTATCGTCACAGGTTTTTTTTTAAATTAATTAATTTATTTATTCTTGTTTTTTTGTTGTTGTTTTTTTTTTGCTTTTTTTTTGTTTTAATTAATTAATTAATTTATTGTTGTTGTTTTTGTTTTCTTTTTTGCGTTTCTCAAATTCTTTGAGTTGATGTTTATATAAAGAAATATTTATATACAGTTTTGTTGACTTCGTGACGTACGAGAACCTTTCTTTTTTTTCATCCACTGAACTTTTATCGGCATCCATTATGGAATAGATGCTATGCCATGATAAAATAAATATCTACAATACTGTTTTATTAAAACCCGATTCATTCTATACAAACATATTCAATACATATCAACATGAAATTAAACAATGCAATTTTAGTTGAATCATAGATCCACCTCCCAAATGTATGTCTCTATAAGATATCGTTTATCTTGCAGTCTCGTAGAGACAAAAATGGATATCACATCAAGCAAAATACAGTAGTACTGCAAAGAAATAGAAAGCTCAGAATGCTTAGCAAACAATGAAACAAATATAAAAACAGTTACAATAATACGTTTTTAAAGGCACTAAAATAAGAAAATTAATTTATGTTTTCATAAAAGCTTTGGTTCTTAGAATGTGTAAGGGATCTCATGAGCGACCAAAGCTCTTCTTTAAAAAAAGCACGTTTGTTTTGTTTTCTTTTTTTCATTGCATCGACGCGCAGACGAGAAACCAATCAGCCGACCGTGACAGTTATCGCTTAAGATTTGTTGCACATTTTAGAATTTTTAAAAATTAAAATGTCATAAATAATTGCCTATTTAATTAGATACAACACTTGATATTGATGAACTGTCATCGAAGAAGGAGATATCTAGACAGTTTGAACAAAATCGGTGGATTAGATGTTGGACAAAATGAAGTTACAGGATTTCCCACAAATCCACAAACAAAACGATGGACATTGTGACTAACTAAACCTAGTAAAAAAGGACTTTTTGTGAAAGCGTAATATATGTCAAGCTGTAGTGGGTTTTTTAAAACGAAAAACGTTTAAAAACACATGTGAAAAACTGTAAGCCGAGACAAGAATACTGATAAGTTGACATGTGTTTTAAAAATCTTCAGTAAATGTGACAAATACATACAACAAAGAAGCTTATACAGTAACCATCAGAACGAAAGTTACATTTTAAAGACTAAGACTTAACTAAAAGAGGAAGACTTAAATAAAAAAGACATTCTTCAGGAGTTACATTTTTAGATAAATAATAAGAACGTAGGAAATAAAAATAATGCGATATTAATTTTATTAAAAAAACTTTTTTTGGAAATTTTAGTTCAAATAACAATATCAAAGTATGTTTCAAGCTCGATTAGCATATTATGTTTCAGTCTTGATCATCAAAGTATGTTTTAAACTTGATAATTAAATTATACTTCAAACTTGATCATCAAAGTATGTTTCAAACTTGATCATCAAGCACCTCACACAAATACGCGCCGAGGAAATCATTCATTGCCATGTCGCACATCGCGTTATACATTTCCCAGTCAGAATGCCACAAGTAGACACAATTCGCTTTATCGCCCAACTTGGGGTAACCGTTAAACCAATGTAGATGCTGGGCCGTCGTGTTGCTGTGTCTGTTCATCCAAACATGGGATGTTCCTTCACTCATGATGCCCGTTAACACACGGTCAAAGGTAGCATTAGCAGTCAAAAACTGTGTAATGAATACATGTTCGTCGGCAGTATCAATCTCCACTAAATATCCCCCAAACAGCGCGCACATCGCTTCAGCGCTTTCTACTTGAAGTATTTTAAGATTGTAGGATAAGTAATATCGACGGCCTTCAAATGGAGTTGAAATCGTGAACAGCGATTTTTTTATAATCTCCAACCTCGACTTCAAGGTAATTCGAAATTCTTCTTCCTTTTTCTCATAGTTAACCAGCGCAGTTTTAAAGACCTCTGCCTCAAGTGTTAAGTTTCGTAGATGTCTAGCGAAAAGTTTCATCTCTGTATACGACAAAATGACTGAGGTAGACGAGTTAAGATAAACTGGATGCCCTGTATGACCGACACCGTGCGCCTCACAAATATACACACCGCCTAGGTAGTCTTCCGGGAATTCCCACACAAGCCGGATGAAAGATTCCCCAAAGTTGTCGATTTTCCCGAAAGCTGCGACACTTTCATTAGAGGAATCCACAACTTGACTATCTGGGCTAAAAGCGTTGATGGAGGCAAGTTCTTTAGTGTGGTCAGAGCCTTGTCTGACGATAATCAGGGAAATGAGACTCTCCATCATGGAGTTACTGACTCTAGAGGAGAGACACTCGATTTGGAGAGACCTGGAGACTCCTGTCACTAAAGTAGATGGGGTCGCGGTGATCTGAAGGCCATAGGCTGTAATAGTATGTAGTATATGTATGTAAATAAGTATACGTGAACTTAATATAAAATATAAGCATGGTACGTGTATATATATATATATATATATATATATATATATATATATATATATATATATATATATATATATATATATATACCATCCTAAAAAATACCCAAATATATTATGTACAAACCTGTGCACACCATTGTAGAGAAAACAACACAGTATGATAGAAAGCTACACATCGTGTATGGATGTTGATCTGACTGCAGTCATTGATGATGTAGTTATATTTTCATCAATAATGACTGTTTGACCAGATAACCTATAAAACCCGGCACTGTATTTTTCCATCGGATAGCCTGATATCTGCGTTCTAATGTAAGATATTTTAATAGATATCTAACATTGTATTTTTTATCTAACTGTCACTTTGTCAAGTAGACCTTATAATAATACCGTTTTTATTGACTTATTCTCGTCTTCAAATATTGAAAAAAATCGTATTACTTTACGTATTAGTATAATTAAATACGAAGTGCTAAAATAACCTAAGTCACTGTTTCAAAATTGAGATAGTTATCCGTAAAAGCTGACTTTAATCAGATTATAAACTCAAGGATCACGTATTCGCTCTATCCTGGGACCACACATGATTTTATAACAGTAATATAGAGTATACATTTGGAGCGCCAGACTGCTATCCCAAAAGTCTCGAGTTCGAATCCGGGTTCAAGATAGTTGAACCTACATGAGTCTACCCAGCTCTGATGGTTACCCTAACTCATGTTGGAGAAAGTAAAGGCGGCTGGGCAAAGTGCTGACCACACCTTTCCTTTATTGCAGAGATCAAGAAACATATGAACTCTACTTCTGCCCGATGGAGTGCTAGGTCTAGATAGGATTCTTACTTACATTTACAATTAGTGATGACGTTAGTAATATTTATTCTCTGCTACACTTACATGTTTTCCTGTTCGTTTCCCGACACCGATTTTAATGACAAGATTAAAACATAGGCAGTCGGGAGACGGGGTGGCCTTACGGAAAATTACGCACTGGCTAGCCCGAAATTTTCAAGACGTTGGTCTAAGACGACTGGACAAAGAAATCACTGTGGTAGGCTGCGCAATTGCTTGCCAGAAAGGCTCAAGACGATGGCCAAACTAATGACCATAAGATTGGGCAGCAAAGACAGTATGCAAAAGAGACAGCAAGACAGTAATAGGTTCTGTTTTTAGAATGACTACTGTTTACACTTTGTAGAAACTTTAAATGTTTTCTTTAAAAATATAGTTGGTAAGAGTTTCAAGTTAGAATTCATTTTATGGAAGTTTAGTTTTTAACTTTTTTTTTCTTTTTTTCAGAAGTAGGGGAGTGTTTTAAATATTTTTTCTTTCATTTTTTAGTCTGCTAAATAGGCATTCACTGTCCAGAAAAGTTATTATTTATATATTTAATTATGGTGTGATATTCGCTTTTTATTATGCAATAGCCTACAGTATTAAACAAAGTATCCGGTCAGGGGCTTCACAACACTTCACACTCATGTTTCGATGCACATGATTTATATATATCAAAACATTAACTACCAACAAAACACATTACATACAAAACAACAGTATTTATTAATTACACTGCTCAAGGTGATTTCTTAAACAAAGTACCGAGTTTTTATTTGTAATGTTTATATATATGTAATTAAACAAAAGACACAAGTAATTTAATATTTCAACTAAAATTAGTATCGACAAATAGAAGCTAATTTAAGGGAAGATCTATTGAACATGTATATTCATCCTGAAATTACACGTATACATGTAAATGTGTGTACAATTTTAGATTATTTTAGTTAGGCCTACTTCCCATCCTGTTATTAAATGTTTTCAGGGGACACAACAAAAACTACCCTAGATATAAAAATACAGTCAATTCAGCCTGAAACCAGTAACAATTAAAGGATTGTTTATTTATTGATAAAACAAAACTTTAATTAGTTAGATATGCAATAAGTTTAATCTTTAAAAATATATAAAATCTAATTATAACTTGACTCTAATTAAAAATCAAAACCATGAACTACATTAGATTTTTAATTAAAATAAATATAAGAAATTCTCTTATAATTCACTAGTTAGCATAATTGCAACAATTTATATATTTAAAAATAAATGAAATTAAAAATCCAGAACGCCGAGAAAAAAAATCCCTTGAATTATCATTTAATTACACATTTGCATTTACAGTTTCAGGTTGGTTTTTAATTTTTATTTTTTCTTTATATTTAGACGTTTTGTAATAGATCTATGTATAAGTAAACCATCTTAAATGAATGAAAGCAGGCTACAAGTAAGAAAGAAATATTACTATTGTAAATCTGTATCAGTCCTCACAAGCCGATGATGAAAACTGTAATACTAAAGCGAACACAAGAAGATAAAAAAAAAAGAAAAAAATTTAAAAACTCCAGAGTTATTAAATTTGTGTGTAGTAAAGGCCGACGAAAAAGATCTACTCGAGGATCACATTAGCACATTTAAATTACCAAACTGTGCAGAAAAAAGCAAGTCAAATTACCAATGTGGCAACTCGCATGTGTAGGTCACCGTGTATCTGGCAACTCGCACAGGTAGTTGAGCTGAAAGTCGTCGTTCCTAGAGAGGGAGCATGGATCATCAATCATCAACCAGGTGGGGTGAAACAACACAACACAGTTTTGGCCACGCCCACCGTCCGGATGTGTTGGCAGCCACCTGGTGTAGTTAGCCACCGTCTGACTGTGTCTGTTGACCCAAACATCTTCCTGCTGCTCATCAGATAACCCCGTCATGACCCCAACAATATTTACATTTTTGGATACATCAGTTAAAAAATCGATCAAAAATTGATGCTCGTGAGCGGAATCGATCTCGACTAAATATCCACCGAATAGCCCACACGTTGCAGCTGCGCTTTCCACTGACAAATCTTTGAGTCCGTACGACAACAAATAACTATGTCCTTCATACTCAGCAGATATCTTAAAAAGTAAACGTTGCATTTTTTCTAGCCTTTCACTCCAAATGCCCTGCTTTTTCTCAAGTTTAGACAAATTTTGTTTCAAATGGTCCATATCAATTGTAAGATTCTGGAGATGATTATCTAATATGCTAAGGTCAAGGTACACTTCTGACACGAGAATTGAAGCATTAAAGATAACCGGATGCCAGGTATGAGTGAAACCGTTCGCCTCGCATGTGTACACCCCGGCTATTTCTGCTTCAGGGAATTCCCACACCAGACGAATGTATGACTCCCCGTGCATGTCAATTTCTCCGAAAGCTGTCAGATTTTCGGTGGCGGAGACGATGACGTCTTTTCCGGGGCTTAAGGAGCTGATGGTCGCGAGTTCCTCGACGCGACCCGAGGATGTTCGTGTGATGATGAGAGAGATGAGTGACTCCATGGGGTGGCTGGTGTTGGCTGACACCTGACATGTCACCTCCAGGGTGGCAGTCAGCGCTGTCGTTATCTCGGTGGGCGTGGCAGAAATATGCAGACCGTGACCTGGATAATGTTTAAATTAGGGATATAAGTAAATCAAGAGCCCTTGTTTTTATCATAAAATACCTATATGTATCGTTTATACTCCGAACATCAAAGAAAGACAATGAACATATCGCATAGACGTTTCGTTTCTCCATGGCAATTTACATTGGACCGGATATTTTGTTAGAGTCTAGTTCTTTGTTATGGATAAGGCAAAACCTATGTCTCCAGTTAAATGCGAGTAGAATCGTTGTTAAAAGTTTGTGTTTATTGTATAGATACCGTTAAAATTTCGATACAGCCCGTTCTGATAATATATAAGTAGCCCACGTACATAGTTTTTATCTTTAACGTAGAATGAAATTTAAACGTTTGATGCGTATTACAGAACACATTAAAAACGTGGGGGTATACATTTATTCTATGTGAAAGAGTGGCCTAGCGGTAGAGCGATAAACTGCTTATCCGAAAGACTCGAGTTCGAATCCAAGTTTGATGGGAGCATTTCACGTTATGGAGAGTAAAGACGGCAGTGCATGGCACTTACTACATAATCCCTTTATATGCCGAGGTAGAGAAACATGAACGACTTTCTCTGCTCGATGGAGCGCTAGGAGTAAAGAGGACGAATCCTTACCAGTGTTTCTTACAGACATTTTTCTCCGGGGGGGCACTTGAAATTTTCGGGGGGGGGGGGGCGGTAAACTTTCTTCGGGGGGGCGGATACTGTTAAAAGTATATATTTTCTATATAAATTATATAAATTTCATTTCGTTCGGGGGGGCGGTAAAATTTTTTCGGGGGGCTTCGAGATGCCTGGAAGAAACTCTGATCCTTACAGATACTCATATTCTACTACAACTAGCAATTTCTAAAGACAGCTAGCTCTAGTACTATTTACTTCGTATGTATTAACTTACCTCACAACAAAAACTCCGAGATGAACACTTACTAACATTTTTAGTAGATTTGTGTGTGTTATTAAATCGTTCGCAAAAAGTAACATTTATTGCGTGTATTATTTACATTTAAAAAAAATTTCAAATTTAAAAAGTGACTTACCTATGGCAAAAGAGTTTAGAATAAACAGGAAAATAGTTCGTGGAGAGTACATGTTTTTATTTTGTTTATGCAGGGTACACGCCGTGTTTTTCTAACACACCTGCTGTCGTGCAAATAGCTATTGGTGTGCTGATATCGTATTGGATGTGAAAATAGAAACTTGTTTTGTGTTGGCGTGTTCAAAAGCAGAAATAGGTTGGGGCAGATAACACAAATGATAACAAAAATGATAACACTAATGATAACAATGGCGGTGGTGCAGAGAGGCAATCACGTGATTACAGATTGCATCAATACATTTCAGATATCATCAACTCGTGTGTGCTTTACAGTCCACGGAGGGATTGATTTAATCAACATCACAGTGGGCCCTAACTTAATCAGCCTAATGGAACTACAGCAAAGTAGGCCCTAATTTAATCTGGTAAATTAGAGCACAACAGCACAGTAGGCCCTAACTTAATCTGGTAGATTATAGCACAGTGGGCCCTAACTTAATACGTATGGTAGATCTACAACACAGTGGGCCCTAACTTAATCTGGTAGATCTACAGCACAGTGGGCCCTAACTTAATCCGTCTGGTAGATCTACAGCTCAGTGGGCCCTAACTTAATCTGGTAGATCTACAGCACAGTGGGCCCTAACTTAATCTGGTAGATCTACAGCACAGTGGGCCTTAACTTAATCCGTCTGGTAGATCTACAACACAGTGGGCCCTAACTTAATCTGGTAGATCTACAGCACAGTGGGCCCTAACTTAATCTGGTAGATCTACAGCACAGTGGGCCTTAACTTAATCCGTCTGGTAGATCTACAACACAGTGGGCCCTAACTTAATCTGGTAGATCTACAGCACAGTGGGCCCTAACTTAATCTGGTAGATCTACAACACAGTGGGCCCTAACTTAATCTGGTAGATCTACAGCACAGTGGGCCTTAACTTAATCCGTCTGGTAGATCTACAACACAGTGGGCCCTAACTTAATCTGGTAGATCTACAGCACAGTGGGCCCTAACTAAATCCGTCTGATAGATCTACAGTACAGTGGGCCCTAACTTAATCTGGTAGATCTACAGTACAGTGGGCCCTAACTTAATCTGGTAGATCTACATCACAGTGGGCCCTAACTTAATCTGGTAGATCTACAGCACAGTGAGCCCTAACTTAATCAGGTAGGTCTACATCACAGTGGGCCCTAACTTAATCCGTCTGGTACATCTACATCACAGTGGGCCCTAACTTAATCTGGTAGATCTACAGCACAGTGGGCCCTAACTTAATCCGTCTGGTAGATCTACAACACAGTGGGCCCTAACTTAATCCGTCTGGTACATCTACATCACAGTGGGCCCTAACTTAATCTGGTACATCTACATCACAGTGGGCCCTAACTTAATCTGGTAGATCTACAGCACAGTGGGCCCTAACTTAATCCGTCTGGTAGATCTACAACACAGTGGGCCCTAACTTAATCCGTCTGGTAGATCTACAGCACAGTGGGCCCTAACTTAATCTGGTAGATCTACATCACAGTGGGCCCTAACTTAATCTGGTAGATCTACAGCACAGTGGGCCCTAACTTAATCTGGTAGATCTACAGCACAGTGGGCCCTAACTTAATCTGGTAGATCTACAGTACAGTGGGCCCTAACTGAATCTAGTAGATCTATAGCACAGTGGGCCCTAACTTAATCTGGTAGATCTACAGCACAGTGGGCCCTAACTTAATCTGGTAGATCTACAGTACAGTGGGCCCTAACTGAATCTAGTAGATCTATAGCACAGTGGGCCCTAGCTTAATCTGGTAGATCTACAGCACAGTGGGCCCTAACTTAATCTGGTAGATCTACAGCACAGTGGGCCCTAACTTAATCTGGTAGATCTACAGTACAGTGGGCCCTAACTTAATCTGGTAGATCTACAGCACAGTGGGCCCTAACTTAATCTGGTAGATCTACAGCACAGTGGGCCCTAACTTAATCTGGTAGATCTACAGCACAGTGGGCCCTAACTTAATCTGGTAGATCTACAGCACAGTGGGCCCTAACTTAATCTGGTAGATCTACATCACAGTGGGCCCTAACTTAATCTGGTACATCTACAGCACAGTGAGCCCTAACTTAATCCGTCTGGTAGATCTACATCAAAGTGAGCCCTAACTTAAACTGGTAGATCTACAGCACAGTGGGCCCTAACTTAATCAGGTAGATCTACAGCACAGTGGGCCCTAACTTAATCTGGTAGATCTACAGCACAGTGGGCCCTAACTTAATCTGGTAGATCTACAGCACAGTGGGCCCTAACTTAATCTGAAAGGTCTACAGTACAGTGGGCCCTAACTTAATCTGGTAGATCTACAGCACAGTGGGCCCTAACTTAATCTGGTAGATCTACAGCACAGTGGGCCCTAACTTAATCTGGTAGATCTACAGCACAGTGGGCCCTAACTTAATCCGTCTGGTAGATCTACAGCACAGTGGGCCCTAACTTAATCCGTCTGGTAGATCTACAGCACAGTGGGCCCTAATTTAATCAGGTAGATCTACATCACAGTGGGCCCTAACTTAATCTGGTAGATCTCGTAACCCGTAACCTGCAACCTACATCTCGTAACCCGTAACCTGCAACCTACAACTCGTAACCCGAAACCAAAAGTATTAAACCTAAAACATTAAACCTAAAACATTAAACCTAAAACGGTTAATAAAATAAGTTGTAATTAGTCTTTTTGTATTATGTATAAGCAAACCATTTTAAATGATTAAAATTACATGTCAGAAAGAAGTATTACCAGCGGCGTCGCTAGGTTCAGTGTCACCCAGTGCGGCACTTCGTGGTTTCACTTCCCCCCCCCCCCCCCCGCCCAAACAAAAAATCAATATATATATATATATATATATATATATATATATATATATATATATATATATATATATATATATATATATATATGTGTGTGTGTGTGTGTGTGTGTGTGTATGAGTGTATGAGTGTATGAGTGCATATGCTTATAAGCTTTTTTCACTGCCGACTTGATAGTAACAATGTGTATCTATAGTATGTTAATAATACAGTTGGATGTAGCAATGTTTTCTCTATTGTTAGCACGTTGACGTCATGGTGTCACCCCCACCCTCATGTAATAATTGACGATTTGTACTTAAAAGACTATTTAACTTTAATTAATCATTAATGGAACTGGCAAAAAGCACTTTTCTTCTTACATTTTGCCATTTTTTGTCTTGGTGTCACCCCCCCCCCCCCCTAAATGGTGTCACTCGGTGCGGTCCTCAGCCCCCCCCCCCCCCCCCCCCCGCCCCGCCCTCGTATTAACTAAAACGTAAAATTCGACATCAGACTGAGTAATTTTTTTATTAAACGTTGAGTTACATTACTATACTATACATGTAAAGAACCGTTTAATTTTGCTATCATTAATAATTTCATTTTACTTTAATTTAATTGGATTATTGTGATTGACTCTGTTCTCAGAAATTATAGATACTTCAACAATGGGGAATTTCCGTCATTTTATCGACATCTAAAAATATAAATATTACGTGGAGGCGACATTGATTTGACATGCCGCAAGCTCGCTGATGCATTATTGCCATGGTAACAAGCAATTTCTAAACGATCTTTTTTGTGTTTTTCTTACTCAGGTAACACTTGAGTGAGGTTCGTGTAGTTTTTTTTTCTCCTATTAAGTGGGATCAGAATGTGTTAGGTATCTTAATACTGTCCTAGGAAACGAATCATAACTTAATTTTAAAAACAGTCTCACCAAGAATTTCTAAAGTTTCTGGTATGGCGGAGTGCGGCACAAGGTACAGAAAAGGGGATCACGGTGTACGGCTTCTCTACGATGAAAAGCCAGATTCTTGTGATAAAATTCGGGTGAGTTTGTATTCACATATTAACATGTGCTACACCAATACCAAACGTCGATTTGCCAGAAAAAATTACCAGTTTCTCTTCCACGGGACATCGAGAACTGCGGCTAAGGATATTCTTAAAAACGGGATCGATCTCAGCAAAGGGAGAGAAGGGCGACACTATTCAAGCGGTGGGGCATTTTATTCGTATTTCAATTTTAAGTCCGCTTTAAAGTGGGCTAAACACGAGTTTCCCACAGACTTTGCGATTGTTGTGTTTAGGGTACCTAAAGAGCTTTTGGATACAAGAAAATATAAAGGTCTTACCCTTGAACCAGAATATTGGAAAGAAGATATGAAACTGTGTGAAAAAATATTCTGGTACTGCATGACTGGGTATAGAAGGTACACACGTATTGGGCGTACTCTCAACCAATACAACTTCATTGTAGCGCCAACCTGCAAGAACATACGAGGAGTCATGGAAAACCACAAGAAACCACGTTTTTTCAAGGACAAACAACAATTGTGTATTAGAGAAAGTAGTTATGCTCGAAAAATTGATACTTATGTTTGTGAAATTATGTTCTATAGTCCATAACATGTTTGGGTAAAAACAAACAAGTTCTTTCCTATTATGAAGTAATTATAGAATTTTTTGTCCAAACATTTTCTAACACTTTTACTTTTACTATGATGTACAGGTAATTTAATGTTATGTTTATTTTCTTGTTTAGTGCATTTCAATGCTTCTAATGCAGAGCAGGACAGTTACCCCAACCTCACCCACCCCCCCACCGACATCACACGGCATTACCTCCCCCCCCCTTCCCCCCGCCCTGAAGATATTACTCCCCTGTCCATTACCCTCTGCCTTTAGGACATTATCCACCGGATATTAAATACACTACGGATAGATTAAGAATATGTTAGGGATAGGGTCAAGGTTCTTGGGGAGTGAGGAGGGTAATTACTCTGGGGGTAATGCAGGAGGGAAATGTCTGGGGGTATTTGATTGGGGTATTATAAAGGTTTTTTTAATAGGAAGTTGAGGTGCTGACATTGTTTTACAATAAAGTATGTATTATCTTACTAATTCTCTTTTTTTTTAAAGTTTACTAATGGAGAGATATAACGAAAAAAAATGCTCCGAAAAGGTTCTAAAAATACGTAGAACTAGAAATAAAATTACTAGTCTTTAAAATACTTGAAAAATTGTTTATCACGTTTTCAATCGACTAATTACATTGAGACT